CTGAACCCTATAAACCACCAACCCTAAACCCTGAACCGCAAACCCTAAACCCTAAACCCTGAACCCCGAAACCTAAACCCTACACCCTCAACCCTGAACCCTAAACCCTAAACCCTAAACCCTAAACCCCTAGCACCTCTGAAGCCGAGCCGGATGGAGGGCCCCTTAAGAGCTCGCGGCGCTCCTGGAGGAAGGAAGACCACGACCACGATCCCCTGTAGATTAACAGAAAGGGTCCGAAATAATTACCTATAGTACTTTGGGGGTTCCTTATTAGAGTTATAGTATAATGGGCCCCAAAACCTATGCTAAGTATTAAGGCCCCTATATTATGGACCTGGGTTTGCTGGTGTTTCATGTGCCCTAAACCCTAAACCTTAAACCACACTTTTCTTCGGGTCGCTGCCCGTCGTAAGGGCGGCCATTGGGAATCATTTGAGGACTGACCTCGCGAAGTCCGTCCGCCGAGTGGGCAAGGCACGAAACTGGTGCTAATATAGGGGCCTGAATGATTAGACTACGGTTTTGGGGCCCATTATGTTAAGGAATCCTCAAAATCCTATTCTAATTTATGAAGGCCCCTACATTACAAGGGCTTTCGTGAGCCAAAGGTGCAGATGCTGAGGGTAATCTGTACTTCGATGCTGCTATACATGGGCTGGCTCACTATACAGGAGACACTAATACGAGAAATACAAATACTAGCATAGCTTTGTCAATAGTAATACGCATCAAAATAATAACAGTATGAAGAAACTTAGTACTTATAGTTTCTAATCAGGCTCCCTATTGTAGTCTTCATTGGGGAACCATGGCCCTGTTTGGTGCCCGCTGACCTAACTTCGCGGCCAGGCTTGCATTCTGGGTTCCTGTTAAGGAATTTCGCCTAGGGCTCCTTCGAAAGGAACTTTGGTTTTCGTGTTTAGGGTTCTTGTTCAGGAATGTAGTTTAAGTTGCCAGGACGAAGAAACCATATGCTGTAATATATAATAAGAACCCCGATTCTGATAGCTTAAGCTAAATGCCTTTATAGCAAGAACCCAACCTTGTTGCTGCCGGGATGTTTGACTTTTTGGTGCCTGGGCCCTACTCTACGGGCCTAAGCTGCATGCTGCTTCAGGGGTGTTTCATTGTTTGGTGGCTGGCGCTTGAACTACGAAGGCTTGCAGTTCTGAGTCAAAATAGGCCACCCTAAAACCCTCAGCTCTAAACTCCTACACCCTGAACCCATGAAGCCCTGTGCGATTAGCACGATGATGACGAGGTTGATGATGCTCATGATGATGATGATGATGATGAGGATGATGATGCTGATGATGATGATGACTGTTGTTACTAGAATTACAACTCTGTTGTTATGATTGTTTTGTTACTACTTGTTTCCGTGGTAAGAAGTCCTTGCACTTTGCCGTGGCTTTTGGTCTCTCGGCCATGTTGAGTCAGAGCTTTTTTAGTGGCTGCTGAGTGGGTGTCTTCTATTGTTACGAATAGGAGGGGCTTCCCGAGAAACTTCCGTGTAAAGGGCCGCAAACCATCGCGATAGTAATCCTTATCGTAGCGATACGGGTTACGATGGAAACTGTTAAGGGATACTATATGGCGACTTTAAGGGTTACGAAGGCAACTATAAAGGCAACTATGGTAGCTATAAGGGTTTACTCTGGTAACTACAAGGGTTTACTATGGTAACTACAAGGGTTTACTATGGTAACTACAAGGGTTTACTATGGTAACTACAAGGGTTACTACGGTAACTACAAGGGTTACTACAAGGGTTTTGTTTGTCCAGGCCATGGCCGGCGCCAATGCGACGCTGAATTACTTGGACGCCGCGAGGCGCGGGTCCTGGAGCCGGCGATTCAAGCGTTTAGGATCCAAAAAGGTTTGGGGCTTAGGATCCAAAAAGGTTTGGGGCTTAGGGTCTAAAAGGGTGTAGGGCTTAGGGTCTTTAAAAGGGCTTCGGGCTTAGGGTCTAAAAAGGGTGTAGGGCTTAGGGTCTTTAAAAGGGTTTAGGGCTTAGGGTCTAAAAAGGGTGTAGGGCTTAGGGTCTTTAAAAGGGTTTAGGGCTTAGGGTCCAAAAAGGGCTTCGGGCTCAGGGTCTTTAAAAGGGTGTAGGATGTTAGGGTCTACAAGGGGTTTGGGGCTTAGGGTCTACAAAGGGTTTAGGGCTTAGGGTCCAAAAAGGGTTTAGAGCTCAGGGTCCTTCGATTCAAAAGGGTACCATGAGGAGACTCTAAGGGTGCCAGAAGGCTTTCGTCTAAGGATCTGGTAAAAGGTTAGGAGCTCCGAGGGTACTACGAGGAGGCTCTAGGGGGTACTAGAAAGGTTTTCCTCTAAGGGTGCTATAAGGGTTACTATAAGTTACTATAAGGGTGCTACATTCTCTAAGGGTGCTAGAAGGGTTGCTTATAAGCTAGTACAAGGGTGCAAAAGGGTTTAGGGAGGTAAATCGGGTGTAGCATAGAAGCCTGAATAATTACCAGTATTATTCCTTATGGTTCCTTATGATAACTATACAAGAAGGGAGCCCAAAACCCTATTCTAATTACTAAGGCCCCTACATTAGAGTTGAGGCACGCCAGTCCGAAGTTGCACTAAAAGATCCAAGCCTAAGCTGCTGTGAGTTATAGGGTTTAGGGTTTAGGGTTTAGGGTTAGGGTTTAGGGTTTAGGGTTTAGGGTTTAGTTATAGTAAACCACCAAAAAGTTGGAAATCGGATTAAGGACAAATCGTGCTGGGATTCCGCATGCACGGCTCTTAAGGCTTGAGGCTATGGGGTAGCCAACCTTGGGTTTCTATCATGTTGTATCACATTATGCTGAAATGTTTTACATATAACATCATATATTATATTATATTATATTATATTATATTATATTATATTATATTATATTATATTATATTTTATATTATATTTTATATTATATTTTATTATATTTTATATTATATTTTATTATATTTTATATTATATTATATT